CCACGAGGGCCGGTACCAGGCAGCCATCGTGCTGCCATGCCTCCGATGCAGACGAAGAGGGTTTCGGCCATGGCACCCGCCGGGGAAGGTCGAGGCGCCTGTTCTGCTCCGCGGGTCGACGCGTGCCCGGCTCCCTCGCCGCGCGGGCCCGCCCGCCCAGCTCCTCCTGGGAGGAGCGCGTCGGGTGGGGACCTCGGCCGCCGCGGCCGGATGCGGCCCTCGTGCCACCACGGGAGGGCCGCCGGAGGAGGAGCGGAGAGGAGCTCTTCCTGGCCATCGCTCGGACTTCCATTCCCTGGGCTTTTTTCGGTTTCGTGCGTGGCCTTTTCGCCAATGGATCAGGGATGCTCCTCGATGGTCCTCGCCGAAGGAAAGACGCACACGTCCGAGCGATGCCAAGCTCCTCTGGCCGGGGCGTGCCTCGCCCACGGAGGTGGCTCCCCGACCTGGGCCCGAGGAGCGGGCCCCCGGGCCAGGGCCGCTCCTGCGCCCAGGCTGTCCGCACCTCGGGCGTCTCGACTGGAGGGCAGTCGCCCCGACACGCGCAGTCGTTCAGGGAACGCACCCAAAGAAGGAAGCGAGCAGGGCAGGGCTGTTTCGTGAACGCCCAGGGCCGTTTAGTAAACGCCAGTTCTCGGGTCCAGGTGGTTTCTCCCCTCCCTTGATTAACTGCAGTTGCGCGATTCCACCAGACCTTCATGCGCCACCAGGTGCGACTCGCACTGGATCTGCGCCTGCTCAAGACCGAGGGGAACTTATAGTACTCGCTCAGCCTGGGGCATGGCGGACGGACCAGCGTCCCTTCTGAGCGCCACTTCAGCCGAGCTACGCCGCTGCGCACGGTCACATAAGAACCGCAGGAAGCGAGCACGCATGGATCCCAGCCGCTACAGCGATGCAGCTGCCGACTGCTGTTGCTCGAGAGCAGTGACAAACCTGCTTCCAACTGGTAGGTCTGGTTTGGAACGGGTTGATACAATATTCCAGCTTGTTTAACGCGCCTTCGCGTGCATGACGATAATATCGACTGCTGCATGTGCGCAGCAACTTGACGCCCATACACGTGCTTGTCCGAATAGCTGGTCAGCAACTGCAGCGCCCAAGCAGCCACGGAATACGCACGACAGAAACACCTGATTGCCGCCTCAATCCTGAGAACGAAACAAATACTTCGATTCCACATCAGGTGCACATCGCGCAATCAGTAGGGCTCGAACAGCAAACTTGACAAACGCACAATACAAGTCCCAACGCCATGCTGAACCTCAATGGCCACGGACGGGCGCAGGAGAGCCGATGATGGCGAAGGCTAGGAGGGACGACGAGGGAGGAGAGGGAGGGTGGAGAATAAGGGAGGAGAAGGAGGAGGAGGAGGAGGAGGAGGAGGAGAAGGAGGAGGAGGAGGAGGAAGGAGGAGGAGGAGGAAGGAGGAGGAGGAGGAGGAGAAGGAGGAGGAGGAGGAGGAGGAAGGAGGAGGAGGAGGAAGGAGGAGGAGGAGGGAGGAGAGAGGAGGAGGCGGAGGAGGAGGGCGGATAATTAAGGAGGGAGGAGGAGGAGGAGGAGGAGGAGGAGGAGGAGGAGGAGGAGGAGCAGGAGGACAGGAGCATCAGGTGAGGAAGGGAGGAGGAGGAGGAGGAGGAGGAGGAGGAGGAGGAGGAGGAGGAGGAGGAGCAGCAGCAGCAGCAGCAGCAGCAGTAGCAGCAGCAGCAGGAGGGGGGAGCAGCACCAATCTGCCCTCACCCTCGCATGGCTCGCCCCTGGACTGGCGATCGGCGCCGCGCACGCGCCACCGCGCTCGGACCGACGATGGGGCGGCTGGGCCAGCGGCGTCATGTAGGCCTGGTTCATGACAGGCGGCGTGTACTGCGGCGGCAGCGGCGTCTGTCCGGGGAACAGCGTCTCCTGGGGCCGCCCGCGGCGGCGGAGCGGCGCGCCGGCGCCAGCGAACCCCAGCAGGGCCAGGGCAGGCCAGCGGGCGGGACGACAGGGGCGGGCCGAGGGTGCAGGGCGACGAGAGCTGTACACAGCCACTGCCCCTGGCCAAGCCTGGGCCCCGGAGCGGTGCACACGCCCTCCATGGCCTGGCCAGGGAGGCCTGTGCACCGCTCCCTGGGCTCAGGCTGGGCCCGGCCAGGGGCAGCGAATAGATCTCGTTGCGCCAAGGCTGGGTCGGGCCAGCAAGGCGGGCAGGCGGAGCGAGCGCGCGCTCGCACGCCGGCAGGGCGGACAGGCAGGACGGGCGGTCCGAAAAGGCGGCCGCGGTCTGAGAAGCCCAGCCTCTCGCTTTGCGGCCGCGGCGGTACAGTCCCCGGCGGAGGGCGGTGCGAGGCTTTGTATATCTCTTCTCCCGCGGCGCCCCACCTCGACGCAGCATGCGGAATCAGTGACAGTGGGGCCGATGGCCATGGCCCGTGGGCGAGACGATCCCCTACCAGCGGCGATCGCCTCACGCCGAGGAGGGCTGTGCGAGGCAGGGTTGCTGCTGGTCTTCCCTTCTGCATCACTTCCACCCCCTCCCGACCACACCCGCCCGCGCTCCTCCCTCCTGCAGTGCCAGTGCCAGCTGGACCGGGCCTTGGCCTGCGCTGGGCCGTGGACTGGTGCCTCCCTGCGCCGCCCTTGCTGGGCCCTTAAGGGGCCCCTTCAGGCCTTCAAGTGCCCATGGAGGGCCCCTTTGCGGCAGCCCTCGCCGCCCCCCATTGATCGCCCCCCCCCACTACGCGGCCTCGACTCCTCAGCAGCCCTCCCTGCTTCTAGGCAAAAGTAGCCTTCTCGGAAGCAGCCTGGCCCATCCGAGAAGGCCAAGTGCCTCCCTGCGCCGCCCCTGCTCTCTTGCCTGCGGCCCAGGCTGTGGAGCCTGCGATGGAGCGCCGTGCGCCCACGGCGCACCGCGGCAGCACGCGGGGCGCAGCCGGCGCGCGCGCGTGCCCGATGAGCCCAGGCACCGCTGCGGTGTGCCGCGGACGCGCGCGCCGTCGTCGTCGGCGGCGGCGGCGGTGACGACGGTGTCGGCAGCAGCACCGGCGGCGGCGGCGGCGGCGTCGTCATCGTCGTCGTCGTCGTCGTCGTCGTCGTCGTCGTCGTCGTCGTCGTCGTCGTCGGCGTCGGCGTCGGCGTCGGCGTCGGCGTCGGCGTCGGCGTCGGCGTCGGCGTCGGCGTCGTCGGCGTCAAGCCAGCAGGGTCGGGCGGTGCGCGGGCCGCCGCCCTGCGGACGCACGGCCTGCCGCTCCGCGGGCCCCACCGGGGCTGCCCGAGAGCGGCCGCGGGCACCTACTGCTGCTCCCTCGATCCCTCGATCCCTCCTCCTCCTCCTCCTCCTCCTCCTCCTCCTCCTCCTCCTCCTCCTCCTCCTCCTCCTCCTCCTCCTCTTCGAGTGAGAGGGGGCGGGCCTTCCCAGAAGGCTCTGGGGGGCCTTCCCAGAGGGGGCGGGCCTTCCCAGAGGTTGGTTGGGGTTGGTTGGTGGATTCTGTTGTTGTTGTAGTTGTAGTTGTAGTTGTAGTTGTAGTTGTAGTTGTAGTTGTAGTTGTAGTTGTAGTTGTAGTTGTAGTTGTTGTTGTTGTTGTTGTTGTTGTTGTTGTTGTTGTTGTTGTTGTTGTTGTTGTTGTTGTTGTTGTTGTTGAACATTATTAATTTTAAAGAATAATTATTGTTGGGGCCCCTGGTGCGCGGCCCCCCCGCCGCGCCTAGGCCGCAGCCACATTTTCATCATTTTCGTGAGGAAGTCTCAGGCAAAACGTGGGTGTCCGGATCCGGCTGTGTTGTTACGATCGGTTTTCCTTTGCAAAAAATAAGGCAAAGTGGACATTTCTTGTTCTAACATGACCAAACTTCAAAAATCCCTTGCAAAAAATGACACGAAGTGCACATTCGCGCGCGCAAGACGAAATCCTTCCAAAACCTTAGTCTTCGTAGCGATTTTCATATAAAAACATGAAAACCCAATGGTTTTTTTAAAAAAAGGGTTTCAAAAATTCACCCCGCGCGCTCTTGCGGATTTCTTAGGAAACCCAATACTTTTTCAACATTTCTGTCAAACGGGCTCTTGCGAGCAACTTTTTCACGTGCTTCGAACTTCTGCAACAAAGGTTGCGCGCCTGCCAGGGCCATCATCCCTGTCAAATAATACCATGTGGGACACATTCGTTTTTTCTTCGCGCGCGCACGCCGAAATCTTCAAAAATCATCGGGTTTCTTAGGAATTTTAGCACCGCGCAACATAAAATCATACGAATCGCACCGTAGGCTCTCGAAAAACATCTGTACGAATTTTCAAATTTTCTACCCGCGCGCGCTGTCCGAATCCGTAAAAACCAATGGTTTTTCAACATTTATGTTATAGAGCTCGCGCGAGCTGTTTTCGCAAGCTCTTTCAACGGTGTTCGCGCGCCTGCCAGGGGCCAATCCCTTGCAAAAAATATCATGCGGGACACATGCGCGCGTCGTCGCGTCGTCGTTGTCGGCATGGTACCACAACAAGTCACTGTACCCATGCGCCAGTGTAGTAGCCAAGGTCGTCCGCAGGCCACGAAGTGAAGTGTCCGAACGTCATAGGGCGGGAAGCTGGGTGTGGGTGGTGGCGAAGAGTCGTTTGGAAATTTGGTAGAGCTTGAACCGGCCCCCCCACAAAGTGGGGGTATTGCCCGCCTCCTATGAAAACCCTGGCACTGGTGAGAACGGAGTGTCCCCACGTGCTAGTAATTGTTGTTGTTGTTGTTGTTGTTGTTGTTGTTGTTGTTGTTGTTGAACATTATTACTTCTAAAGAATAATTATTGTTGGGACCCCTGGTGCACGACCCCCCCGCCGCGCCTAGGCCGCAGCCACATTTTCATCATTTTCGTGAGGAAGTCTCAGGCAAAACGGGTTGGTCCGGATCCGGTTGTTTTGTTACGGCCCGCTTTCCCTTGCAAAAAATAAGCTAAAGTGGACATTTCTTGTTCTAACATAACCAAACTTCAAGAATCCCTTGCAAAAAAAGGTAAAGTGGACATTCGCGCGCGCAAGACGAAATCCTTCCAAAACCTTAGTGTTCGTAGCGATTTTAACATAAAAACATCAAAAAACCAATGGTTTTTCAACAAAAAAATGTCAAAATCTCATCCCGCGCGCTCTTGCGGATTCGTAGGAAACCCAACACTTTTTAAACATTTCTGTCAAACGGGCTTTTGCGAGCAACTTTTTCGAACTTCTGCAACAACGGTTGCGCACCTGCCAGGGCCATCATCCCTGTCAAATAATACCATGCGGGACACATTCGTTTTTTCTTCGCGCGCGCACGCCGTCGTCGTCGGCCGCGGGGCCCTGAATAGTAGCCACGGTCGTCCGCATGCCACGAAGTGAAGTGTCCGAACGTCATAGGGCGGGAAGCTGGGTGTGGGTGGTGGCGAAGAGTCGTTTGGAAATTTGATAGAGCTTGAACCGGCCCCCCCACAAAGTGGGGGTATTGCCCGCCTCCTATGAAAACCCTGGCACTGGTGAGAACGGAGTGTCCCCACGTGCTAGTAATTGTTGTTGTTGTTGTTGTTGGTGTTGGTGTTGTTGTTGTTGGTGGTGGTGTTGTTGTTGTTGTTGATGTTTTTGTTGTTGTTGTTGTTGCTGCTGTTGTTGCAGCGTACAGTGCAGTAGCAACGAGCGCAGAGTCTCCTGAAAGGTGCAGACACAGAAGCGTTGCGACGACTTTGGTGTTTTTTTCCACCTCCGTAGTTTTCGGCCCGAGTCGCGAGAGAGCTTAAGCGCCAACTGGGCTTCTCAAGAGCCCACGGGCTGGCGCTAACACTTACCATCGCCTGTTGAAAAACATCGTGCGCCCATCATCCACAGGAGTGGACTGCCTCGCCATGCTGCTGGTCAAGAGCGCAGCCAAGCGTCGGCATGAAGAGAAGATGCCCTGGCGATGACGGGTCCTGGGCCCCGGGGGCTTCCGCTGGGGCGGGCTTGGCATCCCGAGTCGTGCTTTGACGGCCGTGTGGCCCCGCAGGGGCCCCACAACCCCGAAAACGGCAACAAAAAACACCAACGACAAAAACCCCAGGAACCCTTTTGTGGCGACACCAGCCCGGCTCCCCTGCATGCTGTCCCCTCCGCACAAGCGCTTCCCTCGAGCCATGACCCAGGTCCACGCGGCGCCGCAGCCTGCCAACAGCCTCCCACGGCTGTGCCACGGTCTTGCGCCGCTGTTCGGGGCAGGCGGCGGAGCCGTCCGCCAGAGCGCGCCTGAGCTCCGCGGGCGAGACTTGCTGCCAGGTTGTCGCGGCCTTCGGCGAGGGGTGCTGGACGGGCCCGCGATGCTCCCAGAGGCCAAGGCGAAGGCCCAGACACAGGGAGTCGTTCACACCTCTTTTTGCAGGCCGCTCGTCGTTGCTTCTCTTGCGCCGTCCGCGCCGCAGTTTCGCAGGCGTTTCGGCAGGGGGCGATCTCGGCCGGGGGCGTTTCGGCCGTGGTCGTCGCGCCAGAGCTAGCGGCCGATGCAGGTCAGGCGAAGTCTGCCTCTCCTTCCTCCGCAGCCTGGGATGCCTCGGCCTGCGCCACAAGAATCACAAAGACTGGGCCCACTGGAGACGGGAAGGGCGGCACGACTCACCAGTGGCCAGCGCGGGCACTGCGCACTGGGAATCGCAAAGGCCAGCCCCGCTGGTGGTTCAAGTTCGGCTGCCGTTCCTGCTCTGAGCGGCTTGACACCACGTTGCGTGTCGATGTTCTTGTTTGACCCCCTTTGTTCCCTCTATCGCATTCCTCCCCTCCGGCACTTTGCTCATCGCCGTAGGCTGCCCAAACAGCCATCACACCCATCGGTGGCGGTGGAGTGTTTTTGTTCTGGGTGGCGGTCTATATCGTCGATCACCTGCACCAGATCGTATACAAGCTACTGCGAACCCGGCTGACAAAATAACGACTCGGAAATTGCGAATGGCCAGGTAGAACTAGCAGGTGACGGGACTCTTGGCACGTGGCGTTCCCTCAGTTCTTGAAAGCGTTCGTCGCTCGTGCTGCGAACCTCAGCCATCCTTAGTCTGATGAAGATTTCGCCACCACTTGTCAACCTGAAGTCTGACATTCGCAACAGCAACAGTTACAACAAATAAGCACTGCTGGTCATAAAAATGTGGCTGTCGCCTAATCACTCACCGCGAGTGCTCGCCTTAAAGAATTGCAGCACAAACCAAGATTGAGCACAGGTGGTCTTCAACATGTGGTTCTCACCGTAGCGCCGCATGCGCGCCGCATGCACTCGTCTTAAAAAAAACTTGCAACAGGCACATTGGTGCAACACAAATGGTTCTCAAACTGGGGCTCTCGCCTTAGGACCGCGCACATTCGCCATAAAAGCGTGCAACAGGTACAACGATGGAGGGTGCCTCCTTCTCGAAATGTGGTTCTCGCCTCATCGCCACGCACATTCGTCTTAACAGCTAACAGCAGTCACGAAGATGGAAGACGGCTCTTTTTCAAAATGGGGCTCTCGCTTGCAACCTCCTTGAATCCAGAAACCAGAAACTTCGACATATGTAGCAGCGGTACCGTGAGGGTCTTGACCTAAGGAACCCTAAATAAGGAACGAGGCCCCTTTTTTCCATAAGTTAAACTTCGATTTCCCATCGAGAACATAAGGAAGACCTGCGGCAAGCTGTGAAACAATCAAGGAACACCAAGCTCCTCCCCAACGAAAAAGGGTTCCTTCTTCAGGGCCCCGACTGTACAAGTGAAGGGCGTCTCCTTGTCAAAATGGGGTTCTCGCTCGAAACTTCCCCGAACCTCATGACAGCATGCGCAAGCGTGTGCAACCGTTGCTCGTGAGCGGGCGTCTCGCTGGACACCTCGTGGAACAGGAAGACTCTTCCTTGTCGCACTGACGACTCTATGCCAGAAGGATTCAAGGGGCCCAAGGACACACAAATAAATACACACAAATAAAGTGATTCCCCATATTTTCCCATATCTTCTGGGTTTTTGTCTTCCCGCCCAATGCCCATGTTTTCACATATTTTCTTGGGGATCGACGATTAATTGTGTCTGTGTGTTTTTTTCCCTCCTGAGATTCTGTGCCAGAAGGACGCACGGCAAGTCCTTTTTCAAAGCGGGACGCTCGCACGAATGGCAGGCAAGCGCAAGCGGCGCGTGTTTTTCACATGGGGGCGCTTTTTTCCTGTTGCGACAAAAAAACGGTAGGAACTATGAAGGGGGGTGGGACGGGAGGGTGTACTGCAGCATCGCTGATGCATCTTGGGTTTACTCTCGTCCTCCTGCTGTGACCGCCGCAGCAGCTCGATATAGCTCGATAGCCGACGCCCGGCCGCGCACCCTGAACTCGACCGGAAGGCTGGACGCCATGACGATCCTGAACAGCAACACGACGAGCCGGCTATGCCGCGGCGGCGGCGCGCATGCTCCGCTGCTTGGCCGGCGCCGTCCATCAGCGGGCCGGAGCGCCGCTGCCGAGCTGTGGCCCGCTGGAGGGCTACACCTCCTCCTCCTCCTCCTCCTCCTCCTTCTCCTCCTCCTCCTTCTCCTCCTCCTCCTTCTCCTCCTCCTCCTCCACCTCCTCCTCCTCCTCCTCCTCCTCCTCCTCCTCCTCCACTGCCGCCCCCGAGCCTTCCCCCTGCCCCGTCTTGCGCTGGGCCCGGAGACCCGAGAGAGCGCGCCTCGCACGGTGGCGGTCGGAGGGCGCGCGCGCCCCTCAGGTCCTTGTCGTTCTGGAGTGGCTGCAGAGGCCGTCGGGGCCTCTCCCTCCCCGCCCCTCTCGGACGCTCTGCTCGCCCCTCCTGCCCGCCCTGGGCCGCGCGCCTCTGGCGCCCGCGCGCCCTCCTCCCTCCTTCCCTCCTGCTCCTTCTCCAACTCCTTCTCCTCCATCTCCTCCATCTCCTCCTCCTCCTCCTCCTCCTCCTCCTCCTCCTCCTCCTCCTCCTCATCCATTCCTCGTCCTTATGAATAACCCCTCCCTGTCGCACCCGAAGGCCGTTTCGGCTGACTTCCTTGACCAGTGATGAACCTGAAGATTAGAAGCTGGCAACAGTTTCGCAGATGGAGGGCGAGCCGCTTTGAACATGTGGCTCTCGCCTTAGCGCAGCGCGCACTCGCCTTAAACATTTTGCAGAAGCTTCACGGATTGAGGGCGGGTGGTTTTCAAACTGTGGCTCTCGCCTCAACGCCGCGCACATTCGTTTTAAACATTTGCAACGGTTTTGCGGGTTGAGGGCGGCTTGTTTTCAACATGTGGTAATCGCCTTAGCACCGAGCACATGCGTCTGAAACAATTGCAAGAGCTTCACAGGTTGAGGACGGCTCCTCTTCAAAATGCGGCTTTCGCCTGAGCGCCGCGCACATTCGTCATAACATGTTGCAAGAGTCCCGCGGACTCTCATGGTAACCTTCCAGAGATGGTGTTTTTGTTTTGGAACGGTTCTGGACTGTCAGGGCGCAACAGTTACATTGATTCGCGGTGTTGAAGTCTCAGGAATGGTATTCTGGCACGATTGAGGATCGTCAAGACGCGACTGTCAGGTTGACTCGCGGCGTTGAAATCCTGAGAATGATGTCTTGGCACGCGTCACGACTTTCACACGGTTGTCTCCCAACCAGGCACTTTCAGCAGTGGAAGTGAACCCTTGTACGGGTCCTATGAAGGGGGGAGCTTGGACGGAGGGTGTATTCCAACATCGTTAATGTATCTTCGGTTTGCACTGGTCCTCCTCCTCCTGCTCCTCCTCCTCCCTGTCCTCCTCCTCCTCCTTCTCGTTCTCCTCCTCCTCCTCCTCCTCCTCCCCCATCCCTTCTCCTTTACAAGTAACTCCTTGCTGTCGCACGCCGAAGCGTGTCGGTAGGGCGGGCCGGGCGTTTCGCCTCATACTTCCTCGCCATTAAGGATCCCGAAACTTACAAATTGCAGCAGCTTCACAGATGGAGGGCGGGCCGTCTTCAAAATGTGGTTCTCGCCTTAGCGCCGCGCGCATTCGTCTTTAAAAGTTTGCAAACAAACTCCACGGATGGAGGGCGGGCGGTCTTCACCGCGCACATTCGTGTTAATTAACAGTTCGCCAGAGCTTCACGGATGGAGGGCGGATGGCTTCAAAAGTATGAGTCTCGCCTTAGCGCCACGCGCACTCGTCTTAAAAATTATACAATCTTCGCGGATGGGAGCGTCTCTTGTTTAACATGTGTGTCTCGCTTTAGAACCGCGCGCGCTCGTCGTAAAGTTAGCAAAAGCTTCACGGATGGAGGGCGGGTGCTTTTCAAACTGTGGGTTTCGCCTTTGGTGCCGCCCGCATCCGTCTGAAAAGTTTGAAAAATTTTTACGGATGGAAGGCGGGTAGTTTTCAAACTGTGGCTCTCGCCTTAGCGCCGCGTGCATTCGCCATGAACGCTTGCAGTAGATACAACGATGAAGGGCGGGTCCTTTTGAAAATGTGGCTCTCGCCTTAGCGCCGCGCACATTCGCCGTTTCACGGATTCGTATGGTTGACGTCCCATGAGTAATGTTTCGGCACGATTTAGTACTGTCAGGACGCAACAATTACATTGATTCGCGGTGTTGGAGTCCCAGGAAGGGTGTTCTGGCGCGCTTCAAGATCGTCCGGACCTACGTAACAGCAAAGTTGATTCGCAGCGCTGAAGTCCAAGGAGTGATGCGTGGGCGCGGTTGAAGATTCTCAGACGGTTGTCTTCCAACGGGGCACTCTCAACAATGAAGATCAGCCAACCCTGTCGGCATGTGTAAGGGGGTTTTCCATTTGAGTCGTCGTGGTCGTCGTGGTCGTGGTCGTGGTCGTTTTCGTGGTCGTGGTCGTGGTCGTGGTCGTGGTCGTCGTCATCGTCATCGTCGTCGTCGTCGCCGCTCCCTCTCCAGCGTCCCACCCAAAGCGAAATCGAACAGCGTCGCAATCGAGTAAAAAGCAAGCCCCTTCCTTTTGATCCCTTCCCCGCCCGGGTCGGGTCGGGCGAAAGGGGGGGATAGTAAAAGAGGGGTTTGAGAATCAGCTCACGTAGCTGATTTTCCCGGCGCATCCCGGCGCTTGAGGCGGCTATGTATCGAGGAATGGACCCCTTGGTGAGGCCAAAACCAGCTGCATGCAGCAAATTTCGTTACCCCCCCTTTCCCAATCCCCCCCTTTCGCCCCACCCGCCCGGGGGCGGGGACCCCGGGTGGGGGTGGCGGTGGGGGGTGTCCCGGGAGACGTGACCCCCCCCCACGGGGGGGAGCACTCTTCTCTGGGAGACGCTTCCGGCTCCAGAGCGTCGGCATCGCTGTCGTCATCGCCGTCGCCGTCGCCGTCGTCGCCGCCGTCGTCGTCGTCGTCGTCGTCGTCGTCGTCGTCGTCGTCGTCGTCGTCGTCGTCATCGCCGCTCCCCCTCAAGCGTTCCAGCCAGAGGGATATCGGCCAACGTTGTCATCGAGTACGAAGGAAAGCCTCTACGAAGGAAAGCCTCTCCCTTTGATCCCCCCCCCGCCGGGGGGGGTCCTGGGGGTTGTGACCCCCCCTCCAGGGGGGAGCACCCCTCCATAGGAGAAGCTTTCGACTCCAGAGCGTCAGCGTCGTCGTCGCCGCCGTCGCCGTCGCCGTCGCCATCATCATCGTCGTCGTCGCCGCCGCCGCCGCCGTCGCCGCCGCCGCCGCCGCCGTCGTCGTCGTCGTCGTCGTCGTCGTCGTCGTCGTCGTCGTCGTCGTCGTCGTCGTTTCCTTTCAGGGTCGGCGGCACCCGTCCTAAGGCCTTCGCACTAAATCCTTGTAGGGAACTGTGAAGAAGGAACTTGGTGGGAGAGTTATTGCGGCATCGTTGATGCGTCTTGGGTTTACACTGGTCCTCCTCCTCCTCCTCCTCCTCCTCCTCCTCCTCCTCCTCCCGTCGCTGACTTTCGCCTCCACGCAAGAGTGACCCTAAGCAAGAGTGCCCTTCGGTGCGAGGCTTTAGGGGGCCGCGAGGGGGGGCGACGGGCAGAGGTACGCGCGCAAGTCTCTGCTGGGGGGAGCCCTCTGGTCCCGCCCCAAAAGTCACTCTGGCGACGGGTCACTCTCACGCCTGGCCGAGTTCTTCGTTTGAAGAACAGAGAAAGAGGCACACACACACACACACACTTTCGGAGGTCCGCGAGGATCGGCGCTGGAATCCCCTGGCGGTGGCCTCCGCCGCCGCCGCAGGCGCTGGCGCTCCGCGCGCCAGGGAGCGGGGTTCAGCGCCGAGTCTTCCGCCCCTTCCCCCCGAGACGCTCCCCCTCTTACCCCTCCTTTCCGCTCGCCCCTTCCTCCCACATCGCATTCCCGTCCCCTCCCCTGGCGCCTTCCCACATCGCCTCCTCCTGAGTGCTCATCCACAGCCAAACCCCTCTTGGAACTGCTGCCCTCTCTCCTCTCAGGCTGTACTCGGCGGCGCCGCGCCCAGGGGGGAAGGCAGAGGAGGCTGGCGTTCTCAGAAGGCTCATGAGGCCTCCAGCCGTCTGAAAAGCTTTCTAAGCCCTCTCAAAAGCCCCGCCGCCTTCTGAGATTGCCTGCCACACCTCACTCCCCTCCTCGGCGCGACCCCGATGTACACAATCGACCCTCATGGAACTGCTGCCCCCCCTCCCCTCAAGCCATCCTGAGTGCGTCGACAATGCTCACGGCCACTGCCAGGCATGCTTCGGTGTGCAGCGGCCGTGTTCGCTTATTGCCGAAACCACGTTATTGGACAGACGAACGGTCAGAGTGGTCAACGCATGCCCTGACAAACAGAGGAAATGCTGAGCGGACAGGAGGTTGGACACCGCATCACGTTGTGGATGCCACGACAATGGACACCCTAACAGTCCGATCATTGAATCTAACATGTGTTTAAAATGCCGGAGAATTGTCGAAACATGTTGTTACATGTTCAACATAGTTGAAACATGTTTAGCACATGATTCAGACATCTGGAAACTATTTGGCCACATGCTTTCTCTCCATTGATCGTCCTCCACAAACATAACGTAGAACTCCGCAGGAGAGGAAGTGGCCTGGCTGCAAACACACAGGGGCCGGGAGGCGTCTCGCAGCACCCTGGAGGCCCCCTGGAAGCCACTGGCGTAAGGCAAATTATACGGAAGGTGGACAAAGCGGGCGCGGGAATAGGATGAAGAGGAGGCAGCCAGAGCTTGACGAAGGAGGAGGAGGAGGAGGAGGAATCCAAGAAGGAGGTGGAGAAGGAGGAGTCCAAGAAGGAGGAGGAGGAGGAGGAGGAGGAGGAGGAGGAGCAGGTGGAGGAGGAGGAGGAGGGGGAGGAGGAGTCCAAGAAGGAGGTGGAGAAGGAGGAAGACGAGAGGGAGGAAAAACATCAAAACGTGGCGGACGCCTCAGCGTAATCATCGTGGGCACACCCTTTTCCTTCTTCTCCTCCTCCTCCTCCTCCTCCTCCTCCTCCTTCAAATCATTATCACCATCATCCAGGGGCAGGGGGCGCAGGCGGTGCTAGGGCGGGGCTTCGGCGGCGGCCGCGGCGGCCTTCCTTCTTCTGCTCCTCCTCCTCTTCCTCCTCCTCCTCCCCCTCCTTCTGCTCCCCCTCCTCCTCCTCCCTCCTCCTCCTCTTCCTCCTCCTCCTCCTCCTCCTCCTCCTCCTCAATCTCCCAGACTCGTTTGTCCACCCTGGCGGAGGAATATCCTTCTCCTCCTCCTCCTTCTCCTCCTCTTCAGCAGCAGCAGCGTCGGCGTCGGCGTCGGCGTCGGCGTCGGCGCCGGCGTCGGCGCCGTCGTCGGCGTCGTCGTCGTCAGCATCAACATCAGCATCAGCATCGGCATCAGCATCGGCATCAGCATAACCAGCACCAGTATCAGCATCAGCAGCATCATGATGATCAACATCAACATCAACATCATCATCACCATCACCATCACCATCACCATCACCATCATCATCATCATCATCATCATCATCATCAGCGTCAGCATCCATATCCGCGCTAGCATCAGCATCAGCATCTTCAGCATCACCATCGTCTTTATCATCATCATCATCAGCATCATCATCATCATCATCATCAACATCATCAACAACATCACCATCATCATCATCAACAGCAACGTCATCATCATCACCATCCTCATCCTCATCCTCATCCTCATCCTCATCTCATCCTCATCCTCGTCCTCATCCTCATCCGCATCCTCCTCATCCTCCTCATCCTCCTCCTCATCATCGTCAGCAGCAGTATCATAATCATAATCAGCATCAGCATCATCATCAACATCATCATCATCATCATCATCATCATCATCATCATCATCATGAGCAGCATCATCATCACCAGTATCATCATCGTCATCATCATCAGCATCATCATCATCGTCATCATCATCACCATCATCATCATCAACAACACTAACCGCATGCCCATCCTCGTTCTCACCTCATCCTAATCGTCATCATCATCATCATCATCATCATCATCATCATCATAGTCAGCATCATCTTAATCATCACCACTATCATCATCATCATCATCATCATCATCATCATCATCATCATCATCACCATCGTAATCATCATCATCATCGTCGTCGGCACCGTCGTCGAAGTCATCACCGTTGCCACCCACATCAGCATACACCTCACCATAACCATCATCACACACGTTCTCGTCCCCATCCTCGTCATCATTCATCATCAGCTTCATCATCATCAGCATCACCATAATCAGCACCCTCATCAGCATCATCACCTTTTATTAAACACACAATCCTCGTAATCATCATCCTCATCAATATCGTCATCATTCTCATCCTCATCCTCATCACCATCGGCATCATCATCATCATCATCCTTACCAACAACAGCACTAACCTCATCCTCATCCTCGTTCTCATCCTCATGCTCATCGTCATCATCACAGTCAGCATCATCATAATCATCACCACTATCATCATCACCATCATCATCGTCATCACCATCATCGCCAGCATCAACATACTCATCCTCATCATCACCCTCTTCTTCATCATCATCCTCGTCATGATCATGATCCTCATCATCATCACCACCATCGTCATGTTGATCGTCATCATCGTTATCAGCATCAGCATCATCACCATCATCCTCATCACCCAAATCATCATCATCATCACCATCATCATCATCATCACCCACCATCATCATCATCATCATCATCATCATCATCATCATCAGCATCAGCATCAGCATCAGCATCAGCATCAGCATCAGCATCAGCATCAGCATCAGCATCAGCATCATCATCATCATCATCATCATCATCATCATCATCATCATCGAGGCGGGAGGCCCTTGCTCGCCCGCGTCTTGTCTGCCTGCGCCGCGCAGGGGGGCACCCCGGTCCGAGAGGGCCCGAACCATGCGCGCCTGTGGCCAGAGCCGATCTGGCCCGTGCCGCGTGCAGGGAGGCAGGAGGGCAGAAGGCGCCCAAAGCCATCGTGCTAGCATGAGGTACGCTGAACAGGGAACGGAGGGGACTTTCTGGCCACGGCGAGCCCCCAACCTAGATCTGATGCATGGCCAAAGCACCAAAGCCCCTCCCGCACCCCAGGCGGTCCTTACCCTTCCGCCTTGACCGTGCACGCCGCCACCACCGTGCCTGGCCAAGGCCATCCTGGGCCTTCTTCGGGGGCCTCTTCGGGGGCCTCTTGGAGCCCTCTTGGGGCTTCTGGGGACCCCTTGGGCTGTCTGGAGGGCATCATGGGCAGCTTTTGGGCCTTTGGGGCCGTCTCAGGGCCCTCTGGCACGGTCTGCCGCTCCCTCCCGGCCGAGGCCGGGAGGGTCTCTGCGGCGCCGCCCTGGTGGCCAGGGATGGCCCTGGCCAGGCACGGCGGTGGCGGTCGTGGTGCGGGGCGCCTCCTGCGGAGAGGGCGGCGGGATGCTTGCCTCTCCGTGCGCGCGCGCGCGCCCGCCCCACCGAAGCGGGCTCGGCATCCCAGCTGGCGAGGTCCGCCGGGCGAGCCCGGCCTGCGCGGGTGTCGGGGCCCCCTGTCGCCTGTCCCCCCTCCCTCCCAAGAGGTTGCCCGAGCGACGAACACACTTTTTTGTTGGTCGGCGGGGCGAGAGCGAACCTCTTCCGCCAGAAGCTGGGCGGGCTACGCACAGCCTGAATTGGGGAGACAGGGCACAGGCAGGCGGGGCCTCAGGCGGCCGGAGTGGGCGGGGCCGTGGGAAAAAAACACAGTGGAAAAAACACAGAAAACACACACACACACATACAAACACACACACACACACACTGTGTGTGTTTGTGCTTTTTCCCACAGGGTGCAGGTTTTTTCCTACAACACACAAACACACACACACACACACTGCTGTGTTTTTTTTTCCCCCCACTGTGTGTGTTTTGTTGTGTGTGTTGTTTTGTGTTGTTTTTTTTGTCCACAGGGTGCAGGCGGTGCCGAAGGCAGAGCGACGAAAACGCGCAGGTCTCACGCGAGAAGACGCGGCGGCCCTGCGCCGTGGCGTGCGCGGGCCGCCGTGGCGTGGCGCGCCGCGCGAAGGAGGGGGCGCTCCCGCGCGACCTCGCGCGGGAACCTCGCGCGCGAGTGCCCGCGCAATGAACCCCGCTTGCTTCCACTAGGCCTGGCCGGGGCCATCCCCTGGCCGTCGCTCGGACGTCCATTCCCTGTGTTTTGTTCGGTATCGTGCGTGGTTTTTTCGCCAAGCGATAAAGGATGTTCCTCGATGGTCCTCGCCGACGGAGAAATGCACACGTCCGAGCGATGCCAAGTCCTGGGTCGTGGTGTGATGTATACGCCCTCCTGGCCGAGGACAGGATGGTCTGCACACCATCCCTGGACTCAGGATGGCCCTGACCAGGCATGGTTGCGGTGATTTGTGGTGTATCGATGTCTTCTGCGGACCCCCTCCCACCTGGCCCCCATGCCTACTACCCTTGACTCCGGATCCGCCGTACGTTGGGCGACTTCGTATTTACGGCGGATATTTCCGCCCTACTTCTCAAGCTCCTGTGATACCAATTTCTGCCCTACTTTCCTGTCGCTGGTTCCACCATACTTTTGCGGAAATGGCCGCCCTACTTTTTCGAGGCGGAAATGTCAAATGTCCGGAAAGGCCTTGTCACAAGGCGGGAGGTTTCTCAGAAGCCCCGCTGCCTTCTGACAAGGCCTGCCGCCTCTCACTTCCCCCCTGGGCTCGCCGTCGAAGGACGTAACATGAGGGGTATGCAACATGCGGGCGACAAGACAGAAGACGATAAAGAGGCACTGGCGCAGGGTCTGACAAATGAGACCTGGGGGCATATACCTCCCCAAACTCTCTGCGATCGCCGACCGTTACGCGTACATGCTAGTACTGATCCAAGTCGCAGGAGGGGGAGGATAATCTCGGGCGACAGTTGCGTTTCGATTGTTAGCAGGGCGCGCTCTGCGTGCGAGGATGGAGAATGAGTCTGTGGTGCCTACGGGTTGCGCTGAATTGAGATCGTCGCTGCCTTCTTACAGAGATTGCGAGAAAGAGGACAAGGAGGAGGAGGATGAGGAGGTAAGAGTAGGAGCAGGAGGAAGAGGGAGGAGGAATGTGGAAGGAGGGAGAGGAGGGAAGAGGGATCGGAGGATCAGGAGGGGGAAGCAGAGAAGAGGAGGATGAGGAGGGGGAAAGGGAGGATGATAAGGGGTAAGGGAATCGGCATTCCGCCGCATGCCAAATGTGTTTCAACTATTGTCGTCACCGCCGTAGGCGCTTTAAGCTGCCTGGGGAAAGAAGGCATGAGCATGCGGTCGCTCTCTTCTGCTCCCTCCGCAAGCGGACAAGGCCAAGACATGAGCGAGTCCGGTAGGAATGAATCAACGATCTCCGACAACTGGCGAACCCAATTGATTACTGCCCGATCTGACTCTCCTCTACTGGCCGTTAAAAAATGTTGGAAAAACGCTGCACCCTCAGCCGTGCTCCCCAAACGCTGCTTGCACCATCGGGCTCGTACTTCCTCGGTGCAGACATCGCCAGATCTGCCAGGGTCGTGGTGACCGCCCGCCAGACCCCGCCCACTTCTCCGCCACCGCGCCTTCCAAGCACGCGGTGAAGCGCCCCATGGAGACCTCTCCAAGACTCCAAGAGGCCATCACGGACCTCGGCCTCCTGGGCGACGCAGGGGCCCCCGCTCGCGCGCGCGCGGCGGCGGCAGCGGCCCCTGGCCATCGCTCGGACGTCCATTCCTCGTGCTCTTTTCGGTTTCGGGCGTGGCTTTTTCGCCAAATGATGAAGGCTGCTCCTCGAGGGCCCTCGCCGAACGAAAAATGCACACGTCCGAGCGATGCCGAGGCCCCGGCTGCGGCGCCTGCTCTCCCACGGGCGGCAGCGGCGGCAGGGGCTGCTGCTCGCCCACCGGCGGCAGCGGGGGCAGACCTCGGGGGCGCGCCCTGCCCCCCCTCGGGCCAGGGGGGGGCGGGCCCACGGAAGCTCGGCCCCGCTCCCGCTCCCGCCTGGCCCGGAGGGCCCGATCGCTCCGGGGGCTCGGGAAGCAGTCCGCCGACGTCGAGGCTCCGCGTCGGCTGCCCGGTCATCCCGACGACGCGGGCGAGGCGTCGGCCGAGGCAGAGCGCCTGCCCCCCCCCCTCCAGATGGCCGGACGTTTCCGAGCCCTCCTGTGGCTGGGTCTCTTTTTGCATAGAGCAGTGCTCGCGCGTCTCCTCCTTCTCCTCCTCCTCCTCCTCATACTCCTCTTCGTCTTCTTCTTCTTCTTCTCATCCTTATTTATAATATTATTATTATTTCGAATTCTCCTCCTCCTCGTCTTCTTCATACTATTAGTATTACTATTACTATTACTAGTTTTATCATGATTATTATTAGTATTATTATTATCATTCTGATTACTATGATGATTATTATTAGTTTTACTACTACTATTATTATTGCTATCATTAGTATTACTACTATTATTACTATTATTACGATGTTCCATGCTATTACTACTATGAGTTTCATGGAACATCAAGTTGATCCTCAATACTATTATATAGTGATACCTACGATTATTAATATGGTTCCTCCTCCTCCTCTCGCCTACCTTCGCCTAACGTCTGCTTCTCCTCTCGTCTATTTTTCCCTCCTCCTCCTCCTCCTCTTCCTCCTCCTCTTCCTCCTCCTCCTCCTCCTTCTCCTCCTCCTATCTCCTCTGGTCTGCTTGTCCCTTCATCCTGCTCGCGCTTCCTAGGTTTATGCGAACTACGCATAACTCTAGCGGATAGGCGGAGTGGCGTCCCACGCGGATCAGAATAGACATCGCCTTTCCTTGGGGCTGCGAGCTGCGCAACTGTCGGCACGTTCGTGGGCCCCTGGGAGGTGCACCGGAGTGGAGTCCCACGCGGATCAGAATGAGACCTCGCCGTCAATGGAGGACTGCAAACTGAAAAACCGTCACCACAGTCGTGGGCTCCTGGGAAGGTCCAGCGGAGTGGTGCCCCATGCGGATCAGAATGAGACCTCGATGTCCCTGGTGGGGCTGCAAACTACAAAACTGTCGCCACGTTCGTGGGCTCCTGGGAAGGTCCAGCGGAGTGGTGTCCCACGCGGATCAACATGAGACCTCGCCGTCCCTGGAGAGTTGCGAACTGCGCAACTGCTGACACTTTCGCGGGCTCCTGGGAGGTCCAGCGGAGTGGCGTCCCCACGCGGATCAGCAAGAGACCTCGCCGCCCCTGGGTGGCTGCGAACTGCGCAACTGCCGACACTTTCGCGGGCTCCTGGGAGGTCCAGCGGAGTGGTGCCCCACGCGGATCAGCAAGTGACCTCGCCGCCCCTGAGTGGCTGCGAACTGCGAAACCGTCGCAAAGTTTGTTCGTGGGCTCCTGGGAGGTCCAGCGGAGTGGCGTCCCCACGCGGATCAGAATAACACTTCGCCGTCCCTGGGGGGCTACAAGCTGCAAACTGTCGCCACGTTCGCGGGCTCCTGGGAGGTCCAGCGGGATGGCGTCCCACGCGGATTTGCAAGAGGCCTCGCCGTCCCTGGGGGGCTGCGAGCTGCGCAACAGTCGACACTTTTGTGGGCTCCTGGGAGGTCCAGCGGAGTGGTGTCCCACGCGGATCAGCAAGAGACTTCGCCGTCCCTGGCGGGCTGCGAACTGCGAAACTGTCACGACGTTTGTAGGAGTGGAGTACCACGCGGATCAGAATGAGACATCGCTGTCTTGGGGGGCTGCGAGCTGCGCAACTGTCGCCACGTTCGTGAGCTCAACGAGACTCCAGCGGAGTGGTGTCCCCACGCGGATCAGCAAGAGTTCGTGGGCTCCTGGGAGGTCCAGCGGAGTGGTGCCCCACGCGGATCAGAATGAGACATCGCCGTCCGTGGTGTGGCTGCGAGCTGCGCAACTGTCGACACGGAGTGGCGTCCCGCGCAAATCCGAATAAGACCTCGCCGTCCCTGGCGGGCTGCGAACTGCGCCAATGTCGACACTTTCGTGGGCTCTTGGGAGGTCCAGCGGAGTGGCGTCCCACGTCGATCAGAATTCGACCTCGCCGTCCCTGGGGTGCTGCCGTACAAGGGCAATAAGTTCGGACCCTGCGGCGCAAGATGCCGCCCCGCGGGCCATCCAAACTAATATTGAGGGTATGGAGAGGGCATGAGTGGACAAAAACACTCATACCCCCACATCAACATTGATTTCGGGGGCGGGGGGATGAACACTTCCCCCACGCGTGTGAGGGTTCGAATTCTCATGTAGGGTCCGTGGCAATGAGTCTTATGTTTGCAGCGTGTTCTGAATGCACCCCTGGAATGCGCGACGCTTCGCGTGCCCCACCGACCGACGGAGATAATATCCCCAGGCAGGTTGCATTATTCGGGGAAGTGTCGGAGCATGCATTCCAGGACCGCACCGCAGATGTATCCGCGGATCTTTCGAAGGAGGTTGAGGAGGAGGAGGAGGAGGAGGAGGAGGAGGAGGATAATAAGGAGGGTAGGAGGTAGGAGGTAGGAGGTAAGAGGAGGAGTACGAGGAGGAAGAGGCAGAAAAGGAGGAGGAGGAGGAGGAGGAGAAGGAGGAGGAGGAGGAGGAGGAGGAGGAGGACGAAGTGATAGAGGTGCAGGAGGAGGAAGGCAAATTGAAGAAAGACGGGGTACAACATGCAAGGTTTGGGAGATGGGGGGACGGACGGATGGAGGAAGGAAAGGCGGGTAAATAAACGTGGATGGTTAGAGGGATTGGTGACGAGGGAGGGATGACGAAAGGATGATGTAGGAGATATTGATGGGGTTGACGGAGGCAGGAAGAAAATGGTGAGGGGTGGAGAGATGAGGGAGCAAGGAGGATGCAGCATGAATGGTGAAGGAGGGATGGAGGGAGGAGGGATGGGAAGAGGACGACTGCAATAATGAAGGATGAATGAAGGATGACGGACAAATTGAGGGAGGCAGGAGGGATGAATTGATGGCTGGAGGGACAGGGCACGGAGGGATACGGAATGGATGGGGAACTGGGGAGGGAGGGATGGGTAGACCGAGGGGTAGATGGATGAGGGATGCAGACACGATGGGTCAGGAGTGATGGAACAATGCGCGGAGGGAGGACGGGTGGAAGGATGATGAATGCAATGGTGGAAGGATTAACGGGGGACGGATCATCCGAGGGAAGAGGTGGGAGGGAGGATGGAGGATGGACGGAGGGATGAAATTGAGCTTACGCTGGGCACAGAAAAGGCAAGACTGATTGATCCTGTTGCGTTCCGTGTTCCTGTGCTGCTCAAAAGAATTGGTGTTCACCAGTGGCGCGGTGTCCACAGGCGTCCCAGTGCTCGCGCAATTCGGCGGCGTTCAGGCATTGTTGGGCTTAAGCAGTGCTGCGCGCATGTGGGCCCAATCTGTGCCATTTGAAAGCAACGAAAACGAATTCATCCAATGCATCAGGGGAAGTAAAGTTTCCTTGAATTGCGCGAGGTCGCTTTGGGATGTTCTGGGGCTTGAAATCTCGCGGGACGGGGCGTGCCATGGGGGCGGGATTTGGCCCCGACCTTTTCTTTACAGACGGGATTTGGAAATTACTGATTGGGTGACTTGATAGTTATAAACTCCCAGGGCGCGCCCAAGTCCCGCCCCGCCCCGACAGCGCGCCTTCGCTAGGAATCCAAAGGGGGAAGGGGGGGAGTTATCATCATGATGATCATCATCATCATCATCATCATCATCATCATCATCATCATCATCATCATCTTGATCATGATCATCATCATGGCAGCATTCGTCATGGCCATGATCTTCCCGAAAATGATCGCCATCACTGTCACAACTTGGATCGTCGTCATCGCATCGAGGCTCGCCGACGCCGTCGCCATGGACGCGATGGAGACGGCCGCCGCTGACCTCGAGCACTATATCACCATGGCCGCAGTGCCGAGCACATGAGCGCGCGTCACCAGACGCGCGCAAAGACCCCCTGCTCTGCGCGACGCGCATCTAAAAAATTCAGGGGACTTTACTTCCACGGCGTGTTGCCACAGCGGGCTGTCGACTCAGGATGTCTACGTACCCTTTTGGAGCCACTGGCTGGCTTGTCCGCCGATTCGGCGCATCGCCCGCAGGGCAGGCGAGCATGCACCTCCAGCGCCTGAAGATCTACATGTTTGAGAGAGCGTGATCCACCGCCGCTTTACTGTGGAAAATTCCCCCCCCCCCCCTCTTCCTCCGGAGCCCAGGGTCCCCCCCCCCTCCGAAATCCCCCCCCCACCTGCTGGACCCGACCCCCCCCCCCTCTCCTCCCCTCCGCCGGCAAACCCCCCCCCCTAACCCCCGCCCTCGAAAAGGGAGGGGGTCACTACTGGTTCGAACCCCCCCCCCCCCCCCCCCACTCACCGCCAGCAAACGACTCCCTGGTCCCTACCACCGTCCGCACCACATCCCCCACTGTTGTTCCCAGCACCACTGTCCTCACCACCACTGTCCCCGCTGGTTCCACCACCGTCCCTACTGTCCCCACCAGTGCCCCCACCACTGTCGCACTGTCCCCGCTGCCCCCACCACTGTTCCCACCACGATTCCACTCTCCCGACTTTCTCCACGGCCCCAACCACTGCCCGTCTATCCCCACTGTCCCCACTGTCCCACTGACTCCTCCGCTGTCCCACTGAGCTGTCCCACTGTTCCCACCACTGCCCCCGCTGTCCCCACCACTGTCCCCACTGTACCTCTGTCCCATTGTCCCACCGCCGTCCTCGCCACCGCCTTCACAACTGTCCCCACCACCACTGTACCCTCCACTCTCCCACTGTTTCCACCGCATTCCCACTGTCCCCACACCACTGTACTGTCCCCACCACCACCGCCCCCACCACTGTCCCACTGTCCCCACTGTTCCCACCATTGTCCGGCGATGGTGGAATAGTTGTGCAAATTGACCCGCTGACCGGTTGACCGGCTGACCGGCTGACCGGTTGACCGGTTGACCGGCTGACCGGCTGACCGGCTAACTGGCTGACCGGCTGACCGGTTGACCGGCTGACCGGTCGACCAGCTGACCGGCTGATTGGCGGACCGGCTGACCGGTTGAACGGTTGACCGGCTGACTGGTTGACCGGCTGACCGGGCGACCGGCTGACCGGTCGACCGCTGACCACATGACCAGCTGACAAGCTGACCTGCGGACCCGTTGACCGGCTGACCGGTCGACCGGTCGCGGCTGACCGGCTGACCGCGGTTGCCCGGCTGACCGGCTGACCGGCTGACCGGCTGGCCGCGTGAAGAAGCTGATGAAGGCGCTGACCAGCTGACCGGTTGACCGGCTGCTGGCTGACCGGCTGACCGGTTGACCGGCTGACCTGCTGACCGGCTGACCAGGTTGACCGGTTGACCGAATGACCGGTTGACCGGCTGACCAGCTGACCGGCTGACCGGCTGACCGGCTGACCAGCTGACCGGCTGACCGGTGAACTGGCTGACCGGCTGACCGGCTGACCGGCTGACCGGCTGACCATGGCTGACCGGCTGACCGGTTGACCGGCTGACCGGTCGACCGGCTGACCGGCTGATTGGCTGACCGGCTGACCGGTTGACCGGTTGACCGGCTGACCGGTTGACCGGCTGACCGGGCGACCGGCTGACCGGTCGACCGCTGACCACATGACCAGCTGACAAGCTGACCTGCGGACCGGTTGACCGGCTGACCGGTCGACCGGTCGCGGCTGACCGGCTGACCGGTTGACCGGTTGACCGGCTGACCGGTTGACCGGCTGACCGGCTGGCCGCGTGAAGAAGCTGATGAAGGCGCTGACCAGCTGACCGGTTGACCGGCTGACCGGCTGACCGGCTGACCGGTTGACCAGCTGACCTGCTGACGGGCTGACCAGGTTGACCGGTTGACCGGTTGACCGGTTGACCGGCTGACCGGCTGACCGGCTGACCGGCTGACGGGCTGACCGGCTGACCGGCTGACCGGTGGACCGGCTGACCGGCTGACCGGCTGACCGGCTGACCGGCTGACCGGCTAACTGGCTGACCGGCTGACCAGTTGACCGGCTGACCGGTCGACCGGCTGACCGGCTGATTGGCTGACAGGCTGAGCGGTTGACCGGCTGACCTGTTGACCGGCTGACCGGGCGACCGGCTGACCGGTCGACCGCTGACCACATGACCAGCTGACCTGCGGGACCGGTTGACCGGCTGACTGGTCGACCGGTCGCGGCTGACCGGCTGACCGGTTGACCGGTTGACCGGCTGACCTGACCGGCTGACCGGCTGGCCGCGTGAAGAAGCTGATGAAGGCGCTGACCAGCTGACCGGTTGACCGGCTGACCGGCTGACCGGCTGACCGGTTGACCGGCTGACCTGCTGACCGGCTGACCAGGTTGACCGGTTGACCGGTTGACCGGTTGACCGGCTGACCGGCTGACCGGCTGACCGGCTGACCGGCTGACCGGCTGACCACCATGGACCGGCTGACCGGCTGACCGGCTGACCGGTTGACCGGCTGACCGGTTGACCGGCTGACCGGGTGACCGGCTGACCGGTCGACTCGCTGACCACATGACCAGCTGACAAGCTGACCTGCGGACCGGTTGACCGGCTGACCGTATGACCGGCTGACCGGGTGACCGGGTGACCAGCTGACCGGTGGACTGGGTGACCGGGTGACCGGGTGTCCGGGTGACCGCGGGTGACCGGGTGACCGGCTGACCGGTTGACCGGCTGACCGGTTGACCGGGTGACCGGGTGACCGGGCCTTCAGAGGCACGCGGGGAGACGCGACGGTGCCACCAGAGGGCTCAAAGACGCCGAAAGATCGCTCTCAAGATGGCCCCCGGACGGCCGAAGATGCCTCCAAGACGCCCCAAGAGGCCTCCAAGAGGCCTCCCAAGAGGGCCCGAAGATGCAAACATGTTTGCTTTTCCATAATTTGTGTCAAAATCCTTAAGGTTTTCTCGTTTTCGGCTTCCCGACGCTCCAAGACTGCCCAAGAGGCCCCAAGATCGCCCCAAGACGGCCCAGGAGGCCCCCAAGACGGGCCCAAGACGGCCCAAGAGGGCCCCAAGACGGCCCCAGAGGCCTCCAAGACGGCCCAGGAAGCCCCCAAGACGGCTCCAAGAGGGGGCCCAGACGGGGGACCCGAACGGAAATTTCGAGCCCTCGGCCTCCAGAAGCCTCCAGGATACCCCGAGAGGCCTCCGAAAGGCTCCAAGAAGCCCCAAGAGTCCCCTCGCGAGACAGGCCCCAAGAGGCCCCAAAACGGTCCCCAAGAGGCCTCAAAAATGCTTCCAAGAGGCCTCCGAGAAGCCTACCACGAGATCACAAACGAACACTCAACAGACCTTTAACCCAGAACCCAGGCACGGTGGCGGGATGGGCCGAAGGCCATTCGATCCGCCGTCCCCTGTTGATTCATCACAGGTGGGTTCCTTTTCCCCCCCTGAAAAAACTCCCCCTGGCTTTGGCCCAGCCCGCCGGCCACCCGGAAGGGCCCACACGAGGTGGTCGCAAAGGTTTTTCCTGCTCCCGACGGCTCCAAGATTGCCTAAGATGGCTTCCAAGAGGGCCAAGATGGCCTTCAAGTTCGCCGAAAATGGTCCAAGATGCCTTCCCAGACGGCCCAAGAGGGTCCAAGATACCTCCAAGTTCGCCCAAGAAGCCTCCAAGACGGTCCAAGACGGCCCAAGGGGCCCCCAAAAGGCCTCCAAGACGGCCCAAGAGGCCTCCAAGAGGCCCTCCAGGAGAGCCCGAGGAGATCAAAATCAGTAATTTCCCGATTGTTTTTCAAATCTTTTGACAGTTGCTTCTTTTTGGCATTCCGACGGCTCAAGACGGCTCAAGAGGCCCCCAAGATCGCCCTAAGATCGCCCACGAGGCCTCCAGGGTGGCCCTATGACGGCCCAAGAGGCCCCCAAGACGGCCCCAAGAGGGCCCCAACAGACCTCCAAGACGGCCAAGATGGCCTCCAAGACGGCTAAGATGGCCCAAAGATGCCTCCAAGACGGCCCAAGATGCACCCAAAACGGCCCGGGATGGCTTCAAGATGGCCCAAGACGGCCCAAGAGGCCCCCAAGAGGCCTCCAAGACGGCCCAAGAGGCCTCCAAGAGGTCCTCCAGGAGGGCCCGAAGATACCGAAATCAATGATGTTCCTAAGGTTTTTGGTATATGTTGGCATTTGTTTTTTTTGTTCGGCATTCCGACGGCTCAAAACGACCCAAGAGGCCCCAAGATCGCCCCAAGATCGACCACGAGGCCTCCAAGATGGCCCCATGACAGCCCAAGAGGCCCCCAAGACGGCCCCAAGACGGCCCAAGAGGCCTCCAAGACGGCCAAGATGGTCTCCAAGACGGCCCTGAAGCGTTGCAACACGGGCCCCAAGTCGGTTCAGAGAGGCCCCCAAGACGGCCTCCGACGGCGTCAGACGGATCAGGAAAGCCCTAAGACGGCCAAAGAGGCCCCCAAGAAGCCCCCAAAGGCCCCCAAGAGGCCCCCAAGAGGCCCCCAAGGGGCTCCATAGTGGTCCCGAAAGGCCCCCAGGAAGCTCCGCAGAGGTCTCCCAAGAGGCCCCCCAAGACGTTCCCAAGAAGTCTCCTCCTCCTCGTCGTCCTCCTCCTCGTCGTCCTCCTCCTCCTCCTCCTCCTCCTCCTCCTCCTCTTCCTAATCCGGCTTCTCCAGCCTCGTCCTTCTCTTCCAGCCTCCTCCTCTTCCTCCTCCTCCTCCACCATCATCCTTATCATCATCCTCATCCTCCTCGTAATAATCATCCTCCCTCTCCTGGTCCTCCTCCTCTTCCTGCTCCCCCACGCGCTCCCCGAAGTCTTTCCAAACCGATTTGGGAAAAAAACTGGCCGGATAGCTTGGCCAAGCTCTGGCCCA